AGGGAAGACAGAGAAAAAGCGAAGAAAACCAGAAGTCTAGTGTAATAAATTTTAATGCCTAAATTAAGCAAGAACCACCCACACCCTGTTGACTTTGCCAAAACACTGGCATTGAGTCTGCCTGGAAACCCAAAGCAGAGAAGCGAAGGCAAAAAGCAAAAAACAGGTGCGAGGCAGAGCAAGTGCAAGAGAAGGAATATTTAGTAAATACTAGTAGCTTTCAGAGGTATGATTTGGAGATATATAACATCCTTGTGATGTTATTTTCTTGCAGCTACTGTGCCTCTCTATGACTCAAAGATAACAGAGTCTGTGGGAAGTGGACAAGATTATAAAAGCTGTTCTCAGACACAAATGACTCCATTGTGGCACTTCATTGTTTTAAGGTCAGTATATTTTTGTATGTCAAAGAAGGAAAAAATTAATCTTATCACAGGTAAATTAGTAAGGCTTCAAGCTCAAAGAAACTGGGGGGAGCTCTACATATACCTAAATAGTCAGGCATATACACAAAACTCACGATTTCCTCACAACTTTCATGTGATATATGCCCTCCTTTCCAGAAAGACTGAGAGAACGGCCACACACAGAGGAATTAGCCTTTGAGAGAGAAAGATTGGAAAAAAGCGGGAAACTGATATTCATTAATTTGTGTTCACTATATTCATTCATACTATACTCATTTAATCAATATGAGGTCACTGTATTCACTCATACAGCACACAGCTTAAAAGGGATGGGATGAAGGAGGGGCTAGGAGATCATAGGGCAGTCACAATCAGACAAGGTTAAAGACAACAAACCATTTTACAGACTTTCATTTGAGCAAACACCCACGAGACCAACAAGAAGTTCATACCTGTTTTCAGAACTGCATGCCTCTCAGGTACTGCCAGCCTCATGGAACTGGAACCATAGGAATGAGTGATTTCCTCCAGAAATTCCCAGAAAGCAGCCCTGTTTTCTTTAGCTGTGCTCCAGGTCACCCTGGAGTTCAATCCACCATGATGACTGCCAACTCTGTTGCTGTTTCGCAGTTTTAAAGTCAGTTCTAAATTGGAAATTTCCTTACTACTTATTTTGAAATATCCCTGGCAGATGAATCAAACACAGCATATCCCCAATTCAACCAAAGACTTTGACTGGCACAGTCTCTAATAAATGTTTGGTGATAACAGCCTGAGAAGAGTTTACGGTGTGGTATTCTTGCAGGATTTGGAGAGCAGGGGTAGTAATATTTGGAATGAGTAATGATAAGTATATCATAGATATTATGGGGAGAGACAAAGTACTGGAAAAGAGAAAGTAAGAAAGGGAGAAAGGCAGAGAACCTGATTAGAAAATTGTTTCTGCTTCTTGGAAACCCTTGTCATGGAGCTGTGTCAGTTACTGACAGAAGGGCCAGCCAAGAAAGCCAAAAGGAAAAAGGCTTTTGTCTTGTGATCACTGCCCTCTATCATGTCCAGTTGTTTTCTCCTCACACTGGAAGATGGTCCTCCTTCATGTTCTTCTTGCCATTAAAAAGACAGTCACACAAACCCTTGGAAATAGCCATTTCCCTGAACGAACAATATTTTGAGGCAGATGAACAGGAAAAAAAAAAAAACAGATGATGTCATTCAGTATGTTACCTGACTGACTTTTCACAGAACAGGCATTCTAAAAAAGAGTTAACTGGAAAAATTCATGAACTTATATACAAGCTTAAAGTTTAATTCACTATGTCCCTTCAAGAGAAAAAAGTTTTTGCGTTGCAACTTGAGCAATAACACCCTATGACAGCTACTGAAATGCCAGCTGGAGCTCAGGAGTAAGTGGAAAGTCCTTCCCTCTCACGCTCAGGCTGCAAGTCAATCTTATTTCTTGTACTCTTCCAATGAAAAACTGTGTAAGAGACAGGATCCGCACAACTTGAGATTACAGAAACAACCTGAGATTCTATAACAGGTTGAACTATGAACTCTGATATGTATGTGAGAAGAGGGGTTTAGAAGTTCTAGTCACCTGTACCTGTTTTATCTCCTAATTTAGTTGTATAGTCTTCTCAAACTTTTCTACCCAAGCACCAATAATGGTGGGAATGGAACAGAGAAGATACACAATAAAAATGAGAGGTCTTTGAATTCTCATGTTTTTTTCTTAAAACATAAGAATAAGATTTATCTGTTAAATAAGATTCATGTTTATTTGCGTTCTTCCGCATCATATATCACTTTGCTTTCAATTCAAGTTTTTACTCCACATCAACAATTAACTTCAAGAAAATGTATCACATATACTTTGTGACTCTACATTACCCTGGGTACACATCTATACACCTCAGCATTAAAGGACTTAGATTAGTTTGAAGAGCTTGTGTTTTGTTTTGTTTTGTTTTGTTTCTATTCAACTCCTGTGCAACTAGTGGGCACTATGTATTCTTTCTCTGATGCTTTCACCAAAACTAACTTCCTTAGTATGTTAAAGATTTATCACGAGAATTCAAAATTGATTTTTCAAAATCCAATCTTGGCTTTTGACCTAAATATTGATTTAAACCGGTTATATTCTTTCTATTCTGTGATCAAAGTGGGGAACGCATCTTTGCTGTGTGCACTTCCTCTCGATGCTGCTTTTGGTGGCTCTGAATAGAAAATCTTTTATCAGGCTTAGAAAATCTGCTGGCATCTGTGTCCTGGAAAAGAATCACTGTATTCCCAGGAGAAAGAATATGGAGATGACTCTCCATGGCTGATCAGATGGAATATATGGAAGGAAATGTAAGATAAAGTATGGATAGAACACAAAAAGCAGGCCCTGATACCCTGATCAAATAACTCCCTCAGTTCTCTGTTCTGCAAATAAGTCTCTGAAGCCAGAAGGTGCCAGATTCAACTTTGGAAGACGTTTTCCACCTTCATGCTCAGCTTTCATCTTATTTCCTTCTGGAAATTAATGCAAAAGGAAAAGAAAAAATTTCCATAGATATGCTATATTTTTTTAAGAAGCCAGACACAGATGACTACATGTTATATGATTCCATTTATACAAAATGCCCAGAAAAGGCAGGTTTATCGAGACAAAAGCAGACCAACAGCTGTCTAGGAGTATGGGTAGGAGAAGAGATTAACGGCAAAAGGACATAAGAGAAATTTGGGGAGTGTTGGAAATGTTCTAAAATGTGAATACGGTGATATCTGGACAACCCTAGAAATTTAATAAAAATCACTTAACTGTAGGCTTACAATGGATGAACTCTGTGGTATGGAAATTATATATCAATAAAGCTGCTTAAAGAAAGAGAAAATGCCAGTCTTTGGAGAAAAGGGATGTTTCAATTAGACTTGTAATGATCTAAATATCATGAGAAATTTCTGGCTAATTAGAAATATTTAAACACAGCAATATAGGACATTGCTTAAATTAACTGAAAGTGATGCCAAGACAAGCAGAAAGCACTGCACTTTAGGAAGCTGTTGTTTATATCAATTTTTTACATTTCTTTTTGTTGTTGTTGTTCATTTATGTGGAACATTTGCCACCCAGAAGTGGATTTGGGCTTTATTAGTTTGTCATCCTGATAATATGTCTCCCAAGAAAGAACGTTAAACCAGCTAACACCTTTAAAATTTTTAGAAGGATGGGATAAACAAGTAAATGAAATGTAAGAGGTTATCTCCTTTTCTGAGTTTGTTCCTACAGAAAGACCCTAGCAAGGAAAGAAGCAAAAAAGCAGGAGATAATACTGAGAATCATGTGTGTTAGATGCTCAATCAATCCAGTTTTGTCTTCCTGGTCCACAGGAAGACTGTATTTCCCAGTTTCCTCTGAGTTTAAGATGGAACCATGTCTGACAAAATATAAGCAGAAGCGATGTATGGCATTTTCAGGCAAGGCAATAAAACATACTGCATAACTATCCAAGCTCTCTCTCTCTTCCCTATGGATAGAAAGCGAAGTGAAAAACTCCAGGGTTGTTGAACCCAACTCATGGAAGAATCTTAGATGCCTGAATTACTTCTTTGAAGACAGCTGACCAGGAGAGCTGCTCAACTGGCATTGGATTTTGCCCGAACAAGAAAGAAACCTTTTTTGTTGAGCCACTGAAATGCTGGGATTGTCTGTTGTAGCTTATCACCCTAACCAATTATCCTAGTTGCTTAATTGTTATTTAATTGCCTTAACTAATATGACACACTATAGAGCTCAAAGTATATTTCTTCCTTTCTTCCTTTTATCACCTAGTTCTACTCTTTC